AAACAGGAAATGGGCAGTGGGGATGCACTTATAACTCACTGGGTGGGACACAAAGATTAGCTACTCCTCACTAGGGTATTGAAGATTTCTCTGCACACCCCTCCTAAAACTGTTCACCTAAACTGTTGACACGTCTTGATAGAGTTATAGAGTTAGACTACCCGAAAAACAGCCAGGTTCTGCAAAATCATGCTTCCATGCTATAAATTGCTAAATACTTAAATTAAAATAGACATGAAACAGCTGAATAGTAATCTATAGCCATATTAAGGTGTATAGAACCCAGTTGTATATAAACTAATAATTGTAATGACAATGTAGAAGTCTTAGGATGTGGTTCAGAACTTGCACTCTTTTTTTCTCTCTCCTTTAACATGCTGGTTACACAATACCATGTCAACTAATTCCATTACGTTATAAATTGTTACTGATGTAATGTCGGGGCTTTTAATTGATTGGGCTGATACTCTGTCAGCTCTATCTGCAGACCAGAGACAGTCTCCCCAACAAGCCGTTGAACTTATCTAGACATTAAGATGCTGAACTCTACGCTTTGTAGATGCTTGCAAGGAAAGAATCTCAACTGAATTTGAACTATGGTAATGCAACAAGGTGGAAGAATCCACCATTGGGGGGGGGGACAGGACAGGTTTTGGGGAGGGGAGGGGGGAATCCCAGTACCTATAAAACTGCCATATAATGCAATGTAATCAATTAAAAAATGATTTAAAAAAAAAAAACAAATGTTGGGTTCCCATATGGGTGCAGGTTCATATCCTTGCTGCTCCACTTCCATCCAGCTCTCCGCTTGTGGCCTGGGAAAGCAGTAGAGGATGGCCCAAAACTTTGGGTCCCTGCACCCACATGGAAGACCCAAAGGAAACTCCTGGCTCCTGGCTTCAGATAAGCTCAGATCTGGCCAGCTTGGACACTTGGGGAGTGAGCCAATGGATGGAAGACCTTTCCCTCTGTTTCTCCTCTCTGCAAATCTGCCTTTTCAATAAAAATAAATAAACCTTACCAAAACAACAAAAAAAAAACCTTACAAATTTTTATCCCATCTTTTCATTTTACTCATAAGATACTTTGAGATTCTTTATATCCTAGAAAAACATAATGTACAGGAGATTGGCTGTATTCTGACCAGCACTAGATCTACATAAGTTAATGTAGTAAAAGAGGTCACAATCAGACAACAGGTATTTTGGTTCACTATTTTTAATTGTCAAAGTAGTACATGTGCATTCTTACTCAAAGGTATTGTTTTTACTTCCTCATGCACCTTAAATAAGCTGATAAACTAGAAAAAAAAAATCCAACAGGGCCAAGGCACTTGCAGAAAGCATCAGCTACAGTTTCAGCTTTGAATTTCTAGGATCCCTGAATAGAGTTCCCTGCCAAAATAAAAGTGTATCAGTCAAAACTGGATTTTTAATGAATGAAATATAATTTTAGCCTATGTATGCACCATACTCAAAGAATTATTTGGAGCTGATGTCTTTGCAGCTGGTGACATCTTCCGCCTGTATCTCATATGACCACTAGTATGAATCCCAAGTGCTCCACTTCCAATCCAGCTCCTTGCTAATGGTCTGGGAAAAGCAATGGAGGATGGAGCAAGTGTCCCTGCATCCCCATGGGAGGCCTGGAAAAAGCTCCTGGTTTCAGACCCTCCAGCTGTTACAGCTATTTGGGGAGTGAACTAAAAGATGAACTATGTCTCTCTCAATATCTCTCTCTCTCTCTCTCATCCTTTCAAAACAGTAAATAAAACTTTTCTCTTAAAAAATGGAATTATTTGCACGGACTATGTTGTGGTGTAGCATGTTAAGACTCTGCAAAACTAGCATCCCATGTCAGAGTACTGATTGAAGTCCCAGCTATTCCACTTCTATCCACCTGCCTCTGGTGAACCTGGGAAGGCAGCAGAAGACAGCCCAAATGTTTAGATTCCTTCCCCCATTGTGGGATGGATTTAATGGCTTCCTCTTTGAGTCTGGCCCAGTCCCAGCCATTGCAGCTATTTATGGAAAAACCAGCAGAGGGCATCTGCCTCTGAGAGAGAGAGAGAGAGACCTGTATCAACAGCACTCTGGTTTCATCACTTTGCCTTTCAAATTACTAAACCTTTAAAATACCACAGCCAAGAACTTGCTTCTAAATTTAAAAAATAAGTCATTTCTCAGGCCTGGTGTGATGGCACAGTGGATAAGGTCCTCGCCTTGAACGCCCGGGATCCCATATGGGCGCCGGTTCTATCCCGGCGGCCCCACTTCCCATCCAGCTCCCTGCCTGTGGCCCGGGAAAGCAGTCGAGGACGGCCCAAAGCTTTGGGACCCTGCACCCATGTGGAAGAGCCAGAAGAGGCTCCTGGCTTCGGACCGGCATAGCATTGGCCATTGCGCTCACTTGGGGAGTGAATCATCGGACGGAAGATCTTCCTCTCTCTCTCTCCTCTCTGTATATCCGCCTTCCCAATAAAAATAAAATAAATATTTTAAAAAAATAAGTAATTTCTGTAAAATTGAAATGTAACTAGGCATGCGTATTATTCAACTTTTCATTGCTACAACAAAATGTATGAGAGGCTACTTACGAATAAAGGTTTACTTTGGCTTGCAGTTTTGGAGGTTCTGTTCAAAGATCAGATAGCCCCATGAGTCCAGTGTCTACTGAGGGCAATGTACAGAAGAGATGTGGAGGGAGGATGCATTCGGAGATGGAGAGCACACTCATGCGAGGACTACGATCTCTCCTTATGAGACGACCATGACTAAGGGGAGCTCCACTGTAACAGCCCACTCCAATCACTGCCCAAGGTTCTACCTTTGGACACCATCATTGGATTAAGCTCTGTCCTTCATTGGCTAACTTTTTTAACTTGCCACAATTATTTTTAACTGTTATTTTTCATTATATACTTCTGGAGATCAAGGTTCCAGCATATGAACCTTTAGGAGAACCCAAACTCTAATCCAAGTCATAACAGTATCCTATAACACATGGATTTATCTGTTAAATATGGCTAAAGCAGAGTTTCAGCTAAATCTGACCACTGTATCCCTGGGTTGCTCAAGGAACTTCGTTGCTATGAGCTCATTCAACTCCCCATGATACTGATAGTTATAAAAGAACTCTGTGTTACAAATAATAACTTCAGGATTAATGCAATGTTATTTTACACATTAGCTAGGGCAAAATATAAAATAATTTTATTCACCATTTTGTCACTTCTTCAATCACAAAATTCAGTGCCTTGTAAGGTAGCAATACTGTCATGTATATATAGGAAATAAGAAATGAGAGTGTTCCAATATTTTAAATCCTAAAAGACAGAGGGATTTATACACCCACACTGTCAGGATATACTGAAATAGTAGAATGATAGACCTGTGAGTGCTTTTGAAGGACTATACTACTGTAATAAGATAGGGGAAATCAGTGCAGGAAGGGAGCATGGGGAAACCTCTGAGCCTATGGAACTGTAAAACAAACGAATAACTAACTAACAAATAAATAAATAAGTTAAAAGCCAGAGGAATTTTTGCAATACTGTGAATCTTAACATTCTGAATCCATATGTTGGTTATCTTTGTCCCATCCTCTGACCATCAGCGATGCTAGGAGTACCTTTGTCTGCCATTTTTAAGCACATGCCGTTCTAAGAGGCAGCTGCGATAGGTCAACAGTTGCTATGCTCTGAATGTTTGTGTCCCTCTCAAATGGCTATGCTCAATTTTATTTCCCAAAATGATGGTATCAGGAAGTTAGGACTCCATGGTGATTAGATCATGAGAGTGAGTAAGGCCCTCTTGCATGGGATTAGTGCCCTGGTAGAAGAGATCCAAGAGAGACCCACCGCCTTTCCTTTATAACCATTGCATGTCTATAAACCAGGAAAGAGCCTCACTGCATAGTCAGTCTTCCCAGCCTGCAAGTTCTGTTTCTATAAGCCACCCAGTCTACAGAATTTTGCTACAGCAGCCAGAGAGATCAATCCACAAGAAACATTAGGAATACCTAATGGTGAAAACAAGAAGCAGTAAAACGGAAGAGTAGCTAACCAAATTAAACGTCTGCTACAATTCCCAGGAGTACTGCACTCCCACTGCACTCTCCACCTTCTAGAGAAATAAACGTTTCGCTCCTCAACCCAGGGAGCTATAGAACTAGTCATTCACTTGTTCATTCCCCAAATATTTATTGAGTACCCACCGTGTACCACACCTGTTTGCAGAGCTTGGGACCCACCGGTGCACAAACAAGATGCATGACCTCAGGAAAATTGTATTACTAGAATTCAGAATTCCTAAATGTGTTTTCTAATAAGTATATCTGAAATACATTTCAGTAATCTTTTCACCTACTCCCATTTTCTCTTCTATTTCCCTTTTTTCTTATTTTATTCTTTAAGATTTCTTGATCTGTTTTAGAAAGGCATAACTACAGAGAGGAGACAGAGAAAGATCTCCTTTTGCTGCCTCACTCCACAATGGCCAGAGCTGAGCTGATTCCAAAGCCAGGAGCCAGGAGCCTCTTCCAGGTCTCTCACATGGGCACAAGGTCCAAGATTTTGAGCTATCCTCTAGCGCTTTCCCAGGCCACAAGCAGGAAGCTGTTTGGGAAGGGGAGCAGCAGGACACGAGCCAGCTCTTATATGGGATCTTGGTGTGTGCAAGGCAAGGATTTAGCACTGAGCCATTGCACTTGGCCCCTTTTTTCCTTCTTTTAAATAACAGACTGTGTAGAAGAACAGTAGTAAAATTTTCACTGGTTTGTGTTTATTCTCTCATAACTGCCAGAGTTCCACTGTATTTGGGGACTATCAACACCCATATTAAAACAAATGCAAACCCTGAAAGTCTAAATTCCTAAAGAGGGACTCATTTGAGAGTCTGTATATAGCAGCTAAGGAAAAATAAAAGGAGAGGAGGTGAGGAGACGCATAGAGGAAATGAGGGAGTCGGATGGGGAAGAAGGAAGAGCTGTGTATCACTTACCAATTCTGTAAATAAGAACTCTGCTGCCAGTGGGATCCCTGGCTCGCAGGACTCCATGGTAGCCAGCCTTTAGAAGACCAAGAATACTTCTAGGGTGTAGGTCTGCACTTATTTCTGGACATTCTGCTCTCCACTTATAGTAGTTTTTCAATAACTGAAAAACAACAACAAAAAAAGCTTTTCTATAGATAGCAGATTTGTCAAGCATTTTATAGAAGAATAGTAAGAGAGCCTTGGCATTGTGGATGAAGCACATTCTTTGCTGGTTTGTGATTTCAGTATTTTTTTAAGCTATTGAGAAAAAAAGTTTCCTTGATGAAAGATCTGAGATGATAGGAGCTAGTGACAAATCCATCAGTGATCCATCAGGATCCATCAATGATCCATCAATGAACCATCAGGATCCATCAGTTATTTTCATTTGCTTCCTATAGTAGTCTCCAAACGTAGTCACCAACAATTCTTCCCCTCCTGGCATACATATGCCATTGCTCCCACCAACGGGTAGAGTCTATTTGATTCCTTCCCAGTGACTCCGGCTGGTTTCACACTTTGTGGCAAAATTGATACTACGCCTGATTTTAATCAACGTGATACCTATTGCATTTGCTTTCTTGAGATCCAGATAGCATGTAAGGTTACCAAATGACAATAGTGGAAAGCAACCCTGTGGGATGCATGGTAATGCTACAGGGATTCCACATGGCATCAGAGTTCCCAATTGATGCCATGTGGAGCAGAGATGAACCATCTCCACTGAGTCCCCGCTAAACTGAAGAATCATAGATAAGAGTTGTGCTTCAAATTGTTAAAGTTTGGGATTATTTGTTACTCAGCAACAGATAAATAAAATATCATTTTTAGACTTTTTGCTTTTTTGGTTTTTCTTTGTTAAGTAAGGGAGAACAAAAATCAATTAAATGAGCTGGGAAAGCCTAAGGAACAGTAAAGTATGCCTGGATGTTAGATGTCAACAAAATATGGTTTGAAAAAATCCCATTTTCTTTTCTCTCAAAAGAACCACCAGAAACGGTTAATCAAAGCATGCCAACAATGCAAATATTACTGCCATAAAATGAATCACCCTAAGGTAAATCATGTATTTCACAATTAGATTTTAATTTTCCTGTGTTATTTGCACATCCTCAATTTTTCCAAAATAACACATTTGTTTTGAGCTTAAGGAGATCTATTAGTATGCAAGAGAAAGGACAGTTTTATATTTGAGAATCATTGAAACAAGCATGGTAGTTCTAACCAGAAAAAAATACTAACAGTCTGGAGGAAAGTGCAAATAACAGAGAAAATTGATAGAAGATGAAACTCTACACCTTGAAAAGGTGCTGGTTTGGGGAAGGCTGAGGGAAGACAGAAGCTGCTGGGCACAGGATACAAAACAGAAGACAGAGCATCAGAGTTCTCTCTCTCTCTCTCTCTCTCTCTCTCTCTCCCCCTCACCCCCACCCCTGGCTTTTGTCTGGCACTTTCTTTCGCTGTTTGTCTCTCCCCCTCTCTCTTTCTGTACTGAATAAACTTTCTGTACTTTTTAAAATTCAAGAATGTTTCCAAGAGTTAAATGCAACAGAGGGTAAGAAAGAATAACATCAAAAGGAAAAGAAGTCATTCAGTTTGCCAAAAACAAAATAATTGGTGACCCAAATAGTACTTTCCAAAGGCAGTAAGACAATAGGCACATTGTAGATTTTTCTGTGTTCATTCTATTCTATAACATTAACTTCTCTTCCTCTTCCCATCCTAGAAGACATTAGAATATGAGCTAATAGCATTTTGCAAAGTTCGTTTCTGTTTTGGTAGCTTATTCAGACATAAAAACAGTCCTTTTAGGTTGATTCAAGCAAAATGCTGGAAACAGCACATTAGTAACTAGTACTTATATAGAAATAATTGCTTTATTTTCCTACAGAATGCTAAAATGGGTGCCTTTGGGGGCCCAGCACAGTAGCCTAGTGGCTGAATTCCTCCCCTTGCATGCTCCAGGATTTCATGGGAGCAGCTGTTCCACTTCCTTTCCAGCTCCCTGCCTGTGGCCTGGGAAAGCAGTAGAGGGACCTTGCACCCACATGGGAGACCTTGAAGAAGGTCCTTGCTCCTGGCTTTGGATCGGCTCAGCTCTGGCCATTTCAGGCACTTGGAGAGTAAGCCAGTGGATGGAAGATCTTTCTCTCTATCTCTCCTTCTTTCTGTAAATCTATCTTTCCAATAAAAATCTTTTTAAAAAAGTGTGTCTTCATCAGAAGGGATCTCTTAGGTACTAGATGTGGGATAATCTGCTTATTCATCTCTGCAGATTGCTAGGCTCACAAGAGATAGAAACTTGTTAAATGAAAGAATCATTCAATCCATGCATAAACTAACTGGATCCCCACATCTGAAAAACAAATTAAAGAACAAAACAATCACTTTCATACCTCTTTAGCTATGCAAATCGAAAGATCAAAGCCTGGATCTTCGATCATTTCTTTTTGAAAAATTTAAATTGATTTTGTTTTAACTTGAAATGCAGAGAGACACGCCCAGAAAGATAAAGGAAAGAGGGAGAGAGAGACTGCGATTCCATTTTCTGGTTCACTATACAAATGTCCTCAATGTCCAGGTAAGAGACAGGCTGAAATAGGAGGCCAGGAATTCAGTGCAGATCTCCCACGTGAATGGCAGCAACATAATGACCTGAGCCAGCACCTCCTACCTCACAGAGCCCACATTGGCAGGAAGCCGGAATTGGGAGCAGACCAAGACTTAAATCCAAGCACTTCCCAGTACTGGATGTAAGGAACCCAAGGGGCATCTTTCCTGTTAAGCCAACAACTAGATGAGTGATCACTATTTTCTCACTGACAAATTCACAAGTACGTTCGACATGAATGCATAATGCATAATGCAACTGTTATAAACTGCTAGTGAGAATTCTAAAACAATTTCCAAACACAAAAGAGAATGCAAATAACTATTCAATACGGAGAGGTGCCTATTTTGTACAAAAACTACAAATAAATAAGTATTTAAATGTAATAACTTTGTTCTGTAATAAAATAGATTTCTTTTTAAGATTTATTTTTATGGGAAAGGCACATTTACAGAGAGGCAGAGGCAGAAAAAGATTTTCCATCTGCCAGTCAGTCCCCAAGTAACCAATAATGGGTGGAATTGAGCCCATCTGAAACCAGGAGCCAGGACCTTTTTCCAGGCCTCCTTCATGGGTGCAGGGTCCCAAGGCTTTGGGCCATTCTCCACTGCCTTCCCAGGCCACAAGCAGGGGGCTAGAAGGGAAATGAAGCAGCTGGGACACCAAGCAGGGCCCCTAAGGGATCCCAGCACTTGCAAGACAAGGATTTAGCCACTGAGCCATCGTGCTAGACCCAACTTTAGTCTTATATTCTAATGTATTTTAATATATGTTATTTTTTATTTGACAGGCAAAGACGGGAGAGGGATAGAAAAGAAATCTTCCAACCACTGGTTTTCTCCTGCAAAAGCCTGCAATGGCCAGGCATGGGCCAGGTTAAAGCCAGGAGCCTGGAACCCTATCTGGATTTCCCACATGAGCGACAGCAGCTCAAGTACTTGGCTATCTTCCACAATTTTCATGTATTTTCAAACAAAATAGCATCTTATTTGAATCATTTTTATGGGTTTAATGGCATCATTTCCATTCCTTTTCACAACTACTCTGAGAAATAGCTATTACTACACCATTATATGAATATGAAAGAAAAACTCAGAAATTATACATCTGGTCAAGAGCAACAACTAACAGAGGCAGAATGGAGACTGAAGTTGACATAGGATATATTTTACAAAAGAATCTTCACATAAAAATTAGCAGCAAGAGTCCACAGAATTTGGAAATTGCAAAAGTCGTTGCAAAAAAAAAAATCACAAATGTTTAGGGGAAAAAAAAGACATCACATAGAACAAAAGTATAAGGAACTAGGCCATAAACTGGATAAAGACAAAAATTCATAAGAATATAAAGGACAGAGAAATTCAGGTATCTCTCTGTTAATGTTTTGTTTTGTTTTATTTTACTTCATTTTATTTTATTTTCAATGAAATAAAAGGCAGATCAGATTTATGGAGAGAAAGAGAGAAATATCCTCCATCCACTGGTTCACTCCCCAAATGGCCGCAATGGCCAGAGCTGAGCACATCCAAAACAAAAAGCCAGGAGCTTATTTCAGATCTTCCACAGGGGTGCAGGGTCCCAAGGCTTTGGGCCATCCTCTGCTGCTTTCCCAGGCCTTAACTAGAGAGTTGATGGGAAGTGGAGCAGCCAGGATACGAATTGGCACTTATATAGGATGCCATAGCTTGCAAGGTGAGGATTAGCCAGTAAGCCATCAAACCAGGCCCTGAGGATAGCTTGACTATCATGTGTCTTGGTGAGGTTTGCTTTTGGTTAACTCTGTTGAGAGTTCTAATATTCATTTAAAAAAAAGAAGCCAGTGAAATATGCTTGATATCACCCAAGTTCAAATTCCTGCCCCACTTCATAGTTATATGACTTAGGCCAAGTTACTTTTCATACATCAGCTTCTGTTAAAATGAGAAAATAATGAGATAATCCATACAAATTCTACCTACCAAAGTATTTGGCAGTCCACAAACCATCCTTTTACCTTGTATTTATTTTATTGTTTATTATAGTTATTTTCCATGATACAGTTTTATAGGTATATTCATTAGAATTTTGAAAACCTACCAATTTGCTACAACTTTGAGCACAAAAGCTAGAATAATGAAAAGTCTGATTATAATTTTCTTCATATAAAAATACAGAGCTTTTCATTATGAATACAGGACTTTGAGATGAATTAATTGCCATTGTGGAGGAAAATGAAAAATCAGTTTCACACTGTCACCCTTACCCATTCCTTTCCACTTGGCAGAAATATAAGGCAAAGAGCTCATACCAGACACTTGGTTTCTAGCCAGTAGCTTTAGACACACTCGGGCTAGTCAATTCCTAAGGACATGGTGTAATGAAAACAATTCAGTGAAAGAATGATTTTGAAAATAAAACCATATGTGTGTGTATGTCACAGCCCAGAAATAAAGTTTGTTTGCTTTCCTAGCTACACATTTTAAAAGCAGTGAAAATGAAATCAGTAACTCATATACTTCATTTTATTATCTCCATACCAATATGTAAGTATCTATATGCATGTCTGATGTCTGTTGAAGCCACACTCTTCCTAGGACCTGAGATTGTGTCGTCACTTTCAGTAGCTGCCAAGTGTGTGTTAGACTATTACTCAACGATGCTGGGACACTCGTGTATCCATCTAAGTGAAAACAAACAAAGCTGGGCCCAGCGGCTTGGCCTAGCGGCTGAAGTCCTCTCCTTGAACGCGCCAGGATCCCATATGGACGCCGGTTCTAATCCCGGAAGCTCCACTTCCCATCCAGCTCCCTGCTTGTGGCTTGGGAAGGAAATCGAGGATGGCCCAAAGCTTTGGGACCCTGAACCCATGTGGAATACCTGGAAGAAGTTCCTGGATCCTGGTTTCGGATCGGCATAACATCAGCCATTGCGCTCACTTGGGGAGTGATTCAGTGGATGGAAGATCTTCCTCTCTGTCTTTCCTCCTCTCTGTTTATCTGACTTTGTAATAAATGAATAAATCTTTAAAAAAAAAAAAAGAAAGAAAGAAAGAAAGAAAATAAACAAAGCTGAATTCTTATTTTGACCCTAACATCCAAATAAACCCCAATAAATCTCCCCCCCCAAAAATTCCCTGCAAGAAAAAAAAATAGCCATACAAAAAACAGAGACAATTTCCAACAGTAGAGCCAGGAAAACTCAGAAGTAATCTAAGAACAAATTAATCCAATCAGTAACATAAAAAAAAAATTTTAAACTCTAGACAGAATATAGTATAAATGATATCAAAAGCTAGGCAACGGGGGCCCATCATTGACACATGGGTTAAGACACTGCTTCGGATGGCCCCAGCCTATGCGGGAGGCAGCAGCTGACACCACAACCAGCTGTGTCCTTGCCGGCCACACGGAAGACCTGGGTTTAGTTCCAGGTTCCTGGTTCAGGCGGATCCAGCCCTGCTTGTTGCAGGCTTTTGGTGTAAGCCAGTCTCTCTCTCTCTCTCTCTCTCTCTCCCTCTTTCTCTCTTTCTCTCTTCCTCTCTTTCTGCTTTTCAATTTGAAAAGTAAATTCAAAATCGAAAGGAGGCAACAAACTAGGACAAGGCCTATTTTCCTTTACACTTAAATACATTTTATGAATCCACAAACATAAAAATGATAAATGACAAAAATAGGCATTTAGCTGCAAAATGATCCTAAAATTCTGGATGTACAAATCAGGATCAACCTCATTTATAACCAAGCAAACGCATATTATGACAACAGTGAATTACCACCTCTCACCTAGCAAGTTTATACACAAATTAGTGTGTAATCATACTGTGTAGATGATAATGTGGAGGACAAAGCACCGTTACAATGATACAATCAGTGCAAAAACCTTGTGGGGTTGGGGGAGGCTACAATGTGGTACAGCAGGTAAAACCATCACCTGGGGCCCGGGATCCGATATGGGCGCCAGTTCTGATCCAGATGGTCCCACTTCCCATCCAGCTCCCTGCTTGTGGCCTGGGAAAGCAGTCGAGGATGGCCCAAAGCCTTGGGACCCTGCACCCGTGCGGGACACCTGGAAGAGGTTCCTGGTTCCCGGCTTCGGATCGGCGCTGTACCAGCCGTTGCGCTCACTTGGGGAGTGAATCATCGGAGGAAAGATCTTTTTCACTGTCTCCTCCTCTCTGTATATCTGACTTTGTAATAAAAATAAATCTTTTCCAAAAAAAAAAAACATTACCTATAATGCCGGCATCCTATTTGGGTGCTAGTTTGTGTCAGCCGCTCCACTTTTGAGCTCCCTGCTCATGGCCTGTGCAAAGCAGCAGAAGATGGTCCAAACGGTTGGGCCCCCACCACCCACACGGGAGCTCTGGATGAACCTCCTGGCTTCTGGCTTAGGCCTGACCCAGCTCTGGCTGTTGCGGCCATCTGGGAAGTGAATCAGCAGGTGGATGATCTCTGTCTCTTCCTCTCTCTTGGTAATTTTCACTTTCAAATGAAAAAACAACTCTTTTTCTTAAAAAACTTCGTTGTAGAACAGTCTGTTAACTGTTCTAAAAAATGCACAGCTCTGGTTTTGGTGGCTGCCCTCCATCCCGGGTTGCAGAGGCATTTGGGAGGCTGGGTGTGGCTCCTCTCCTTATCTCTCCCCTTATTCCAGATAAAGGAAGGGAAAAAAGAAAACGTGGAAATTGTGATCTCACCCACCTCCCTGTAACCCTTGACCCTAATCACCCTAATCAACTATGTAAAAATCATCAAAAATTTAAAAAAAAAATGCACAGCTCACTTCATCCAGAAATGTCACCGGTTAGTTTATTATTCCAGGATATATTCCTGTTTACACAATGATGAAGAAATGCTAGCAGTCAGTCAGTGACAGAGGAAACCGCAGTCACTTATTTGCTGTACCTTTTCTTTAACCATGAAATGGCAGGGGAATTAGCACTGAATGAGGGAATGAACAGGCAGGATTATTTCCTGATACTGGCTGGTAGTAATTCTAATGTCCAAAACTAGAATGCTTAGACCAGACACATCACCATTACAGTGGGATAGGAGCAGCCCAGTAAAGAGCAAACTACAAATAATGCTGATCCACTAAGAAGGGGAGAAAACCCGCCTGATTGTGTTACATAAACTCACGAAGACAAAACTTAGAGTTATGGGCCCTGGGCATATGACTGCGAACTTTAAAGCTTGGAGCGGGGAACTTTTACCTGGGAAATTACTTTTGGAAACATATTGTGTACTTTTTGACTATGCCGAACTCGTTACTTCTTTGATAAACGTTGAAGTAACTTGGAAAACGCTTCCTAAAACAGGTTCGAATTCACTTTACCTAGCCTACCACACCAGCTCTCCGCATGACACTGACTGAGCAAGTGCTGGGAGACAGGGCTGAATCCGGCCCAAGCTGAGCGCCATGACGCGCCGGGCACCTCTTGTTCTGACGGGTTCAATCCTCGCTCCCAGGGTTCTCATCAGATAACGCGTAGAGCGCCCAGTCTGAACTGACAGAACCCAAGGTCGCACCCTTCTTTCCGATCGCTGTCTCTGCAGCAGCCCTTCAACCTGTAGTCACACACTCAGAAACACAAAAAAGAACCTGCCCAAGTCGCCCCTGCTCATCCCAGGACTCAGAATGCACCAGGCTGCTTCGTCCCTTGACACCAGGCACTGCTATTCATAAGCCTGTTTTCTTTGGCTGGGATTTTACTCAGACTCTTGTCGAATGTCCTTGGCACAGGCAGAGCTATCTGCCCAGGAGCGATAGATAATTGCTCGTCACCTGTTATCCTTAACTCTTGCAGGCAGTAGGCATATCCCCAAATTGTATAGGCTCAGTATACTGGTCTAGGGCGATTTCCAATGTTTGGGATTGGCTGTGCCACCTACACTACCAACACCTTTTCAGGTTTCCAGTTCCCAGGACCCAGAAAAATTGGAAGTTCCCGCCCGGCTCTCCCCGAATCCTTGCAGCCCCACAGACCCCGCACCGAGTGTTAGCCGGCACACTGTGCCCGCCAGGCTGCAGCCGCTGCCCCGGGACAAGGCGCTGTTACCCGGCCCGGCCGGCAGGGCGGAGCGCGACGGACACCAGCGCTTACCCGCCAGGCCAGGTCCAGGTCGAAGTCCCGGGCGCGCAGGAAGCGCAGCAGGAAGGCGTCGGTGAGCGGCAGCGGCTGGAGCGGCGCGCCCGCCTCCAGGGCCCGGCGCCGCAGCTCGGTCAGGCCCGGCTGCAGCAGCGGCGAGTGGTCGGGCAGCGCGTTGAGCTGCGGCGCCACGCCGGGCCCGAGCTGCGTCTCTGCCATGCCGGCCGCCGCTGCCGCAGCAGCCCAGGAGACGGGGAGAAGCGCGCGTCCCGCGCCACCCTCACCTCGCCCCTCCTCCCGGGGCCCGCATGCCCGGCCCGTGGGGCGGGGAAGAAGCTGCCCTCCTAAAGGCAGCCGCGTGGTGTTCCCATGAGTGCCATGCATGCCTGGGGTAGCTTTGGGCCTGATAACCTGGGCCGTTCCCCAGTGAGGGAGGTCTCTGGTGTTCATCTGGCTAAGTGACAATGCCAAAAAGTTATTTGGAATGATTAAAAAAGAAAAAGTGAACTGCAAACTGCAGAGTTTTCTGTTTCTTCTCTTTCTTCCTCGAGTTGGAAGGCAGCTTAGCAATAAATAAATAAATAAATAAATACATAAATAAATAAATCAGCACTGATGGCCCTGTGGCCACTGAGTCCTGTTTGCGTCCTTAAGTTTTCAACTCTCAGCTATTACAAGGCCAGATTTTACAGCCCTCTTTCCATAATGCCACCTTAACCAGGCTCGCTGTCCCTCCCCTGTCTTCCTGTTGCAGTTCTTGGCACCTGGCCATTTTAGAGACATATACAAATAAATGTCTAGTAAGCAATGGGGCGGGAGGAGTATTTTTAAATGCCATACGAGTTTAAAGCATTCCTTTGCCTCCATTTTGAATTTGCACACGTCTTGTCTCAGCGAGTGTCCCAAAGCCCTTGCAGAGTGTCCCAAAGCCCTTGCAGGATCGCCTCCGCCATCCCAGGATGGAGTCCTGGGTAACAAAGACAACGAATGGGCAATGATGTAGAAACCTGAACGGGAGTTGACCAGATTTTTTACCCGCTGAAACTGTTGTAATTAATCTGTCTTCCCAAGGAAGATTTCAGGAAATGAATTCTACTAAATGGATACTGGAGTGTGGGGCAGGGGGAAATCGTGATGCCAAGTGCCTGCCTTTAAAGGGCTCTGAGAGTAGAGAAGGAGACGAAGGAGTCCTTCATTAAAAAGTAGTTGGGGCAAGCGTTTGACCTGGTGACTCATCAGCCTAAGATGCTTACGCCTCACATCGCAGGGTTGCGTAGGTCCCCAGTCAGCTTCATGTTAATGAGTGCTCTGGGAGGCAGCAGCAGATGGCTCAAACAGTTGGCTCTCTGCCACCAGTGTAGGGGAGCCAAAATGAGTTCCTGGTTCCTGGCCCAGATACTGCTAGTATGGAGGAGTGACCCAATAGATGAGTGCACTCTCTCTTCCAATTTCTCCTTAAAATTAATAAATAAGGGGCAGACACTGTGACACACAAGCAGCAAGCTAATCCAGAGTTTGGGGTACCCACATCCCACGTCAGAGCACCTGCTGGAGTTTCAGCTAACTCTGCTTCTAATCCAGCCTCCTGCTAATGCACTTGGGAAGGCAGCAGATCATGACCCTGTAGTTGGGTCCCTGCCCACATGGTGGAGCTCAGTGGAGTTTTGCACTCCCAGTTTGGAAAGGAACCCATGAATGCAAGCTCCTTCTCTCTCCCTCTCTTTCTGTTTCTCCCTTTGTCTTCGTTGCTCTGCTATTCAAATAAACCAAAATATATATTTTTTAACAAGAGAAGTTAAAAGAATTTTCATAAATTATTGAGCGTTTGCCTTGCCTAGAACTTCAGAACATTCCTGTGAGCAAAACCAGCCAAGATCCTTGCTTTTAAGAACTTTTCATTCTTGGGGATGTGTCTGGAAGTGTGTGTCTGCATATATAATAAACAAGATAAATTAATGAATATGATATAAGTCCTACAGGGAAACAAACAAAACAGAGTCCTTGTGGAGCCTACAATGACATCAGAATGAACACCGGACAGGTGCAGGAGCATGCCCAGACTACCTGGGATTAGAGAATTCAGTCTTTGATTTGTGTTTCTATGGAGGTGAGAAGCCCTATGAGTGATTACTCAGAAAGCAGTGAGAAGGCAATTGCAGATGAGGGCTAGAGATTCTAAGCTTTGTTCTATTGGAGTGAGATGGAAAGCTGCTGAAAAACAAGTCTAGAAACTTGCTGAAAATCTACAAGAGACTTAGGGAGACCCACCTCTGAGTAGTTTCCAACACCTTGACAATACCCTCATAGAAGGTGAGACAGCAGTACTAAACCCTGATCACCGCAAGGAGGCTGCTATTATGGTGTAGATGGCCCGAGTGTTTTGTGCCCCTGCCACCCATATGGAAGACCTGGATGAAGCTTCTGGCTCCTCACTTCAGTCTAGCCCAGTCCTGGCCGTTGAAGCTATCTTGGGAGTAACCCAGCAGATAGAAGACTCTCTCTCTCTCTCTTCCTTTTCTTCTCTCTCTCCCTCTCCCTCTTCCTCTCTATGTAAAATAGCGTTTTGAGTGAATCAGAAACTGGTCATCCAGGGTCTGTCATTTGCAGTCTACGCAATGTATAATTTTTAATTGAAGCATAGAATTTACCCTGCATCACTTACAAAATCGGATTTTAGAGGCTGGTGCTGTGGTATAGCCAGGTAAGCCTCAGCCTACAGTGCAGCATCCCATATGTTTGCCAGTCCAGATTCCAGCTGTCCCACTTCCAACTTAGTCCCCTGCCTATGTGCCTAGGAAAGAAGCAGAGAGCAGACCAAGTGCTTGGATCCCTGCATTCTGGCTCTTGCCATTGCAGCAATTTGTGGAATAAACCAGTGGATGGAAGATCTCTCTGTCTCCCCTTTCTCTGTTGTAATTCTGTTTTTCAAATAAAAATCTTTTTAAAAAATTTTATTCTAAACTTTAAAAAATAATGCTCAATCATGGGAAATTTCAAATGCACATAGAAAGAATAGCAGTAAATTCCAAAAAACAGCTTACTTCAGCCATCAGCGATATGCTGCTGATCTTTAAATTACATATTGTGCTTTTTTAATAAACTGATATATTTTAAGGAAATACCCACATGCGATGTTATTATATCAGCAACATCACAAAATCTATTTCTCCTCCTAATATCACCACAATAGCATTTTTATATTTTAAAATATTGGTAATAATTCCCAATATTGCCTAATATATACTACATATTTAATTTTCCCTGATATTCACAAAACACCTTTTAAGTTATTCAGATTAAAATTCATGTAAAATCCTCATATTGCATTTGGTTGCTGTGCCTCCTTGTGATGAATAATTTTTTCTCTCTCTCCTCTCGCTCTTTCATGCTATTAGTTTGTTGCAGTAACCAGGAAATTTTTCCTTAGTCATGACACTTCTGGATCTGCCTGCTTCTATTGTATCATTAAATTGATCCTCTTTTCATTTCTCACAAACAGTAGTTGTGTCCGCAGAGTCGATTTTAAGTTCGTTCTTGCTGCAGCAACAATGCATCATGAAGTGATTCTTTTTACATTACATGAGATACAAAAACGGCAGTGATGTCCCCTCCTTTTACATGTTAGTATTGTTTAGTTGGCTTACGCTGTCACCTCAGGTTAAACAGCTTCAAGTTTCCCTTTTCTGGTCACCCAATGATTTTAGCAGTTCCAGGTGACCCTGTTTACTTAGGGCCATTGCTTTAATACGAATTGCCAAATGCTCATTTTCCTATTCTTAGCATTCCCTCCTGCTGTTTTAGAAAGAATGGTTCTACGTATAGGAACTTTCCCTTACCAGCCATTTTCTTAACCCAGAACTCCATTTTCATAGAAAATGTGAAGTAAACGCTTGATACTTCTATTAACTGGTTCACGTTATGTTCGAAAGCAGGAAATATTCCCTCCTGCAAACGCGTGTATGTTTCAGAAAAACTTACCATATATACTGTGTGTTCAGCAAAGGCTGTGCAAAAATAAACCTCATAGGAAGGTTATCTGTTGTGTTCCAAATTGGAAATCATAAAAATGTCCACCAATACCAGAAGACATAAATAAATTGCGAAATATTCATACAATAGAACATTCCAGACATTGAGAATGAATTAACAGAGAGCACACACAATGACATGGATTCATCCTGCAAATGTAAAACTGAGATTAAAGAAGATAGGTACACAGAGTTTGTGCTGCCTTTTTCCACAGGCAGCAAGCTTAAATCTAGCAAGAGGAATTGTGTGTTCAGTCTGCACAGTGGGGACAGGTAGTGACCTGAAGGCTAGACAAGAGGTTCTTTCATCTGCTCACTTCCAATGGATTGCAATACTCTCCCAATTATCAGGGAGCACATACATCATAAACTTACATAAACTTTCCAAATCAAAATTTCCTTATATTACTGTCTTTCATGCACTAAACGATCTTATATCTGGATCTGTTATCTAATACTAAAAATATCACCTACCTTTTTCATAGTAACATTGTTACTCATTTGCTTTCCTCATATATTTTACATGTAATAGCTTAAAAGTGCATTACCAATAAATAATGGAAATAAGATGATTGAATAATGTTAAATATTTCTTTGTGGTGCTTTTTCCTTAGGCTATGTCTGTGAAAACATAAAGCTTCCTAGACTGTCCAGGAAAACCCCGAGCACCTTCCCACTCACCCTGCAGTCCTGGCCCCAGAAGTGTCCTCAGTGAGCCCGAGTAGCTATTCAAGTTATATGTTTGATTCATTACTCTAGTCCGAAGGAAAAGGGAACCTGCTGTTCTGGGATCAGAGCATTAAATGATGGCTCGGAGATCAGGCTAGGAGTACCAAGAGACATTGCTACATAGTGAACACTGAATCAGAGAGGAGTGACTCTGGGTCTGGGTGAGATTTTACTTCCAACCCAAAGTCATAAAAGTAACTAAGGAGATATTTTTTTTTAAGGAAATGGGTATAGCTGTCTCCTTTAATAAGCAGAGAAAAGTCTAAGGGGCCAGAAAAAACCCTCTCCAATATAGCTGTTTGGCCGCTCATGCAGGAGATGTTTCCTTCAGTTCACGTAGAATCATATGGAGGACAAAAATGCATATGAAGGTATTGACCCATTAATTGCAAACTAGAGGTATGCAGCAAATATTTTCTCTCTGCTCTAAAAAAGAAAAAGCATATTCACATTCAAGATAATAAAGATGAATATTCAAGT